TTTTTTTTTTGTATGTAAAAGGCTGTGGCCAAAACACCACTAAAATCTCTATTGCTTACAAAGTGGATTTGAGCAGAAAGATTTAAGAAATGAAAGAAACTATGCCAAGGGCAATGGAAGAAAGAAGATCAAGATTCAAAACTATTTAGTTCATTGGGTACTAAGAAACTAGAAAAAAAAAACCACTAGGAAATGGACAAATAGAGGAAACTGAAAATAAAACAGATTCAGGCATGAAGACAAGTGTAAGGCCCAAAAATCATGACATGAATCCCAAGACATATATCCATTTTAACGGTGCAGATCACATCTGAAATACCCATAAATCTAAAACCATAGTACCCATGATTTAATTCATTTAAGTAAAAGTACGAAACCATAGATCCATTGCAATAATGGTGCAAAATAATAGAGAAATGAGTTAATATTTGAACCAACTCTAAACCACACAAAACCCAGATGGTAAAAGCCTTATGACATGTTTATTAATCCGTAATCGGGTGAATAGTAATTCGTAATCAGAATCCAACTCCTTATTTTGATTATGATTATGGATTAGTAAGTTTACTGAAATCCCCACTCTAGCAACACACAAAACTGAAACAAGCTGAGGCTGTGGGGTTGGGGATGAGAAAGATTGAGATTGAGAAACAAACAAAACCCAGATAGGAAAAGGTCTTAAATTCATACCTTTTATGGCTTGTAATTGAAAACCCCTCTCTAAAACCCACAAGACTGAAACAAGCTGAGCTCTGTGGGTCTGGGGGATGAGAAAGCTTGAGACGCAAGAGGGAACTTTTAACCACTCTGAGTCTTCTGACCGCTGACAATGTGTTGCTCAACATTCTTAGACATTCTTTTGGCAAAATAAATGTTATATTGGCTCAATTGGGCACAACTCAAATTGGATCTAATTGCAGAAGAAACCAAAAAGAAATCTTTTTCTGCTCAAATCTATTGTAATTGTAAGTTGTAACCAATGCTTCAAAAGACAGAGATGTATATACAGAGATGCCGCATGGAGATCCCTTGTTTAAATGCTTACAAATGGACAAAGTCAAAATTTAGTCTTATTTATTTATACAAATTGGCATTAAAAAAACACAACTACATGTATGCCTACACTCTGATTGAGTTGTTGCTAGATTGGAAGAATTTGGTGGGAAAATCTTAAGAAAAGATGAGCTGCCGTACAATGACCTATATTTCAGTTTCAGAAAGCATTATTATAAGGCAGATTACATAACGTCTCTGCCTCAAATAGTAACAGAATAATAAGTTCAGAGTTTGAAGAGTCTAATAATATTTTTAAATATATTTTTTCTTTTGATATGGTTGAAGTTCACGGTATGAAGGTTCCTTGAAGCGCTGGTTGAAAGGGACTAGAGAGTAGAACCTTCACTGGTCAGATGAGTCTTTAAGATGAGAATTTTTCAGCTCATAGGAAGATGATGGGTCAAATCTTAGTTGGTAGGTATGAAATTTCGTGGAAATTGAATATTGGTGTCAAATGGTTCAGAAAATAAAAAAAGTTATGGAGCGCTTACTAGTCAAGGACTGGGCTAGTTGGGAGACTAACACAAGTTGAACTCGATAAAAGGTCGTTTGGGACTATTTCTGTAGGAAGTATTTTGTGCTTATAAGTACTTTTATTAGAAGAGTGTCGAAATTTTTGTTAAGAGTTTTGTTTGTTTCTTCATAATGCGATTTTATAACTCATAAGTACTTTTAATTTTTATGCCAAAAACAATCATAAGTATTTTTAATTGTCAGAAAGCGCTTTTAGATATTTCAAATACACTCCCAAATAGACTTCATGCAGATGGTGTTTGTCCTTATTAAAGAAAAAAAAATACAGAATCAAGTGAAGCCATTGAAACATGACATGCCAATGGTATTTGGGTTATGGATTTTCAGTTTGCGATAGCTTTTTTTACTAGCAAGAAGTACTACTTCCACTACAAGAACAATGAACATAAGCGCACAAATATTGCAATTTTTCACATGCCCAAAAAAAGGAGTCAATTTGCCTTTTCTTTTTTGCAATGTGCTACATATAGGTAATTCTATTTATTTTTTGTCTAGAAAATTATGGGTTCTGAATATGAATACACACTTTTGACAAAAAAAAAATGATGGATATACACTATTTTTTGTCCAAAATATTATGTGTTCTAAATAGAGAAAATGTCACTTTTGGTTCATGTAGTTTGTCAAATTTTTCACTTTGTGATTTCAATTATGGTGATTTGACCAATGTAGTTTGATATCCATTGTAATTCAAGAACACGTCCAAATTTCCGTTCAATTCCGTCCAAAATTGCTTATTCCGTCAAGAAATTATATGAAAATTTGGACGTGTCCCTGAATTATGATGGATATCAAACTACATGGGCCAAATCGCCGGAATTAAAATCATATAGAGAAAAGTGAAAAATCCGGCAAACTACATGACCATAAGTGACTTTTTTATGCCTTATAAATATGATCTTTAATCTTAATAGGAAAATTGAGGTTTCTCTACATCCATCTGGTAGAGTACCTATCCCGCTATCCTTTCCCTCCCACTAATTTGAAATAAAGAAAACAATCTTATTGCCAAAATTTTGATTTTTGCAAGAAACTTAATACACAATTGAGCAAATAAATTTTAAAAAAACCAACATAAAAGAATCGTATCCAAGTCATATTTGAATACAACATACATATGCATACATCAAGGAACAAACAAAATGAATATTCATGTTTTCAAGGGTCCCTCCCTCCATGATTCCATCAACCTTTTGACGGTAAATCTTGTTATAATGTGTTAAAAACAGAAAATAAAAAGACAATATTTGATCACTAATCATGATATATGCATAGGCAACAGCTCTTCGCTCTTATCTTTTTTACTAAACAATAGTTTTATGCGGAATACAACCACACAAATACAACAGCAGCTGGTTGAAGTGAGATTCCTACAGTTGGCTCTTTCACTATCAAATGGTTGTAATACAATCATTCTTAGTAAGGACCGATCACACCAACAGTTCATAATTCCTATTTCCGAATTAATTCGTATGATATATGATATCTCTACTATTATAAAGTTAGGCAAAAATCCTTGGAGTCACACACTTCACTAAAAAAATTAGACGAAAATAATGTAAAAAATCGGGAGAGCATGCGCCGTCCTGCAAGAAAAGGGAAGGGGAGAACATAAAACGAAAGCAAGAGTGCACAAGTTATTACACAACTTTTGGTCTATGAAATTTATAACTTTCAAGCATTGAGATGAACTAGATTTCTCAAATTAAGTTTTATTTATTTAAATATTTATGCATTCAGACCAAAATTTTAAAAGCATTTTATTTTTTTAATTAGTTTTAATTAATTCTCTCATTTTTCCCATTTCACTTTTTCTTCTCCCTTCACCTTCTTCGTTCCAAAAAAACTTGCATGTCCCATGTTTCATACACCATAATTTGCCTATTCCAGGTTTCATACACCTTTCCATGTCTCTCATCATGTGATGAGAGAGATACAGAGAAAGGTGTATGGAACATATTTCATTGACGTTTTACTCCTCTTCGTCCCTGTGCATCTATATATGTGTCTCTCTCTTTCTTCCAATATTTGTCCTCGCCCTGCTATCGTCTTTTCTTTACTTTTCTGTTTCGCTACTAACTTTCTTGAAGCAAACAAAATGGTTGGGAACAAGTTGTGGGTTGAGGGTAATGAGCAAAGCATGAAGTAGCATATTCCAATTCAAACCCATGACTTAGAGACCATGTTTGGTGAATAGTATTGGATTGAATTGGATACTCCTCATCTTTAAAGCATGTTTAAGGAAGAATGAATATATATATATATATATTTTACCAAGTTGAAGGTAGAATATGGATTACTCAAGAAGAAAATTTATCCCATCTAATCCCGCCAAAATGGTAGGATAACAATACCTTCAGTGGCGGAGCTAGGAATTTATGTGTTGGGGGGCCAACATATAAACCAAACAAGACATTAAAAAATTTCAATTTTTCAACCTTAACAATGTTTGGAAAAATTAAAGGTAGAAAATAATTGTTTATTCAATTAGGTATCAAAATAACACTCGTCGTTCTTTCATATCTCGAAAACCATCTATGATTGAGTCAATGCTAATCTTTTCTGCAATTTCCCTTTCGATGTACATAATCAAAGAGTCTGTGAGAAATTCATCTTCCATCTTGTTACGAAGCATAGTTTTTACTATACGCGTAGCAGAAAATGATTGCTCTGCAGTTGCTGTAGAAATAAGAAAAGTAAGCACAAGCATAACCACTCTATAAACAAGTGGATATGTCGTTGATCTTCTAGTCATTACCATCCATTGAGATAGATCATAAATTGTTGACAAGTTTATGAACTTTGGACGTCTAACGACGTCACTCTCAAAATGTTGAAGTTGTCTTCTCAAACCTATCTTCTCATGATCTTCAAAGTCTTGCGATAGAACTTATCTACCAATTGACAGATATCATCAATTCTAAAAGATTTATTCACTTCATGAGGATCTAAAGCCGACCCAGAATAAGCAACTCTGTTGTTTGATCACTAAATCTGCTATTTAATTCTTGAAGTTGAGAATCTATTGCAGCATAAAAAATATCTATCATGTAATAATGCTTAATGGTAAAATCATCTTGTTGATGGAGAGCTCGACCTCGTCTTGCAACATAACGAGCATTCATATCTAGGATATCTATGTTCCGTGCTTCACAAAAAGAATTCACCTTAGTAAGCAAAGAATCCCATCCATCATCTCCTAATTCTTGGATGAGTGCTTTAGTGGAAGAAACAAGATTCATGGCATTTATGATGTCTTGGGATTGACATTGCAAAGCTTGACAAAGATCATTAGTGATCTCCATAAGTTCTTTCATAAGATGTAAGATAAAGACAAATTCATATGAAGTCATTGCCTCATAAGTTGCATCAGCGTCACCTAGAATAAGTAGTTCCGTTATCAATTATATTAATTAGAACTAGTGCATGTTGCACTAAACATATTTACCAAGCTTGTAATTGATTTCAAATGAGAACCCCAACGAGTATCACCAGCACGTTGTAAGGTGCCAATTTGGTTCATTCCTTTCCCAGTCTCAAGCTCATCAATTGCAATCATGTACTCAATTTCAGCAACTTGAACATTTGTCAGTTCATCATTACGTTTGCATGAAGCACCAACAATATTGACAATAGAAGTCAATTTAGTGAAAAAATGGTGAACATATGAATAACTTCTCTTGATGATGCAATTAATGCCAATTGTAATCGATGTGCTAAACAATGAACATAGTAAGCATATGAGCAATCATTCAAAATCAAATCTTGTAACCCATTCCATTCACCTCGCATGTTACTTGCACCATCGTATCCTTGTCCTCTAATATTTTGAATATTTAGTGAATTATGAGACAATATAGAATATATACCTTTTTTCAGAGTTAATGCCTCAATGTCTGACACATGAACAAGCCTAAAAAAAAGGCTTCTGAATAACACCTTCTTTGTCAACAAATCGCAACACTATAGCCATTTGCTCTCTCTTGAATTCATCACGCGCTTCATCAACAATTATACAAAACTTTGATTCCCCAATTTCTTCACAGATTGCTTTCTTCACTTTAGTAAGTTTACTGAAATCCCCACTCTAGAAACACACAAAACTGAAACAAGCTGAGGCTGCGGAGTTGGGGATGAGAAAGGTTGAGATTGAGAAACAAACAAAACCCATATTGTAAAAGCTCTTAAATTCATACCTTTTATGGTTTGTAATTGAAAACCCCTCTCTAAAACCCACAAGCCTGAAACAAGCTGAGCTCTGTGGGTTTGGGGGATGAAAGCTTGAGATGCAAGAGTGAACTTTTAACCACTCTGAGTCTTCTAACCGCTGACAATGTGTTGCTTAACTGTTTCCCTCTTTTCGGCCGGGTAGGCCGATTGAAGGAGTTTTTGGTCCTTCTTCTCTTAAGATGCGTAGTGTTCGGTTCATTTTTACACATGATTTTTCATGTTATTCACCCACTATTTTGAGTTAGTTCTTGACATTTTATAGCTTTTTACTTCCTTTTTGTGTTTTCTTAGATTTTACCTTGGTTGGAATGAAAATGAGCTAAAAGTGCATTATTGGTTATAAACTTTGTTTTTGTTCATTTTCGTAGGTCAACTTCTTGGCCTGGGATCAACATGCTCTGGTGCTCGGATGAGGTCATGATCTTCATGAGACTTGTTCCAATGGATGTTAACTACAACATATCCAAATTTGAGCTCCATTGGACAAGTATTGCCTATCCAACCAATCCAGCATGTTACCACAGCTCTGGAAATCCGGAATTGGCCAGCTTTTACC